AAGCGATGCACTTGTTACTAGTAGCATCTTGTTTCTAGTAGTAAGGCCAGGAGCTACTAGTAGCGTCCTTGCTCCGTTCGTAGCGATGCCCTTGTTACTAATAGCGAATGGCCTCCAACCCACTAGGGATGGCCTCCACAGCATGAAATGATGAGCCCTATACGAATTCCGAGAATCGATGGTAGCATCGAAAATTATGGAATCTGGTTGGGTGCATCAATGTATCTATCCGGTTTTGTCAATCGTTCGCACTGAAAGAAATGTTAACCTGGAAAGCAGTCTCCCTGGAAAGTGTTTACATTTAGCATAGGGCCTGGAAGGTCGTTCGCTGCATGGTGGACCAGGGCTCCAGGTTTGGACCCATCTCCGAATAGATTTTATTGACTAGAAGCGATGCACTTGTTCCTAGTAGCTTCTTGTTACTACTAGTAAGGCACTTGTTACTACTAGTAAGGCACTTGTTACTAGAAGCCAACTATGGACCGGCAAGTGTATTGTTGTGTCTCTTTACATGGGACTTGAAGTGTTTTCAAGTGTCCATGTCTCTCATGTGCGCTGAGATGTGGACTTCGGTTTAAACAAAAGCAGCTCAAACCCAGGCCCCTTCGGTTTCTTCATCTGACTACGATTGAGGACATTTGAGTGTTCCACTGTCCGCCTTAGTGTCCCAGGGCCCGAAGGACACAAGACCTCGTTTCAGGCCTCCAACCTACTAGCCTTCTTGCTACTAGTAGCGATGCCAGGAGCCGTTGCTCCTAGTAGTAAGGCCAGGAGCCCCTAGTAGCTTCTTGTTCCTACTAACCTATACTAGCGATGGCCTCCCACCTACTAGCGATGGCCTCCAGCCTCAGAGCGGTGGCCTCCAGCCTAAGAGAGAAAAAACTATGCCCGCCGAAGTGCAAGAGACGTCGCTTCTGCAGGTAGCCCTTCAAGCTGTGTCTCAATGCCCGTTTCCGCCTAAGCCACATTTTTGTTCTGTGGGAAGGGAGTAGTCTGCTGGAAAGCTACCATACTAGTAGCAAGGACGCACCATGAAACTGTTCTTAGACTTTACCGCTTTCTTTTTTGTTCTTCAATAGCATGGAGTACTACCCCGGTTGCAACTTTGTTCCAAATAACACTAAGGTCGTGACTGCCGGAAACTCTCCTTTACCACATCCAATAAAACTCCCACATCAACCTCGAAAGAAGTTTCAGCACAACCTTCTGCACCAGACATATTTGGAAAGACTGTCCTGCTTGGTAAAAGCCTTCTCTTTTGAACCAACATGTTCGTCACCCTCTACCTGAGATCCGCATCGACTACGATTTCTCAGCAGGATGTAGCACAGCATAGCATGGCCACCATGGCCTACCCTAATTACTCTTGTTCTGGTGGTTTCATTCCAAAAAGAAAAACAAAAAAAAAGAAGAAAGAGTCAAAGATCTAACAGACAAGAAAAGAACAAAACATATGAAACAATAAGAACTGTTTAAAGAAGAAAAGAGAAAAAGGGAGCGATGCAAAGCCACATCTTCATTCCCTCCGGCCTCAGTAGTTGGGTGGTCCTCAATCCATGCACAAACCAACGGAAGCTGAATTTCCTTCAAACATCTCCATGCCAGATCAATGAAGAGAGTGCGTCCTAAATGGTAGCTCCTTCTGAGCTAACTACTCACGGCCTACCCCCTCACATGTGAAGCCTTTGTGCAAAAGCGGCTTGAAGAGGAATGATACACTAGGAGCCATGTTCGCTACTAGGAGCAAAGGGCATCGCTACTAGGAGCAAGGATGCTACTAGGGGCTCCTGGCCGTACTACTAGGAACCATGTTCGCTACTAGGGGCTCGGACGATGGGCGGAGGTGTGAAGTATGTTGGTGATTAAATTAACTAATAGCTTCTTGTTACTACTAGTAAGGCACTTGTTACTAGTAGCGATGCACTTGTTCCTAGTAGCGTCCTTGTTACTCGTGAGTGAGATTTCGAGCAAGCGAGCGAGCGAGTGAGATAGGTTGCTGAGTTGAGGAAGCTCCCATCCCCTTAAGAGCGAGCAACACGCAGGGAAACGGTGGGGAACAAAGCTGAGTGCAAGTGAGTGTCATTGAGTCAGTCGAGCTATTAGGTTGGAGGCCATCGCTACTAAGGTGGAGGTCTTGCTATTTGGTTGGAGTTGAGTTGCTGAGTTGAGTTGGTGTGAGATGAGTGAGTGACAGGGAGTGGAGCTGGTGTGAAATGAGTTGGTGAGTAGGAGACGGGAGGATGAGGAGGAGGAGGAGGCAACGGACGGGACGGGATGCTGATAAGAGTCAGAACTCCCCACCAAAAAAAAGTGGGTCAAAAAAACACATAATATGCTATCATATGCTGCTAGGAGCAAGGACGCTACTAGGGGCTCCTGGCCTTACTACTAGGAACAAGAACGCTACTAGGAGCAAAGGGCATCACTACTAGGAACAAGGACGCTACTGATGGAAACACATATGCATTGTGAAGGCCAAAACCGAGGTGCAAAGTCCAGTTCCACCACAGCTGAGACAACTTTCGGCCTCGCGTCTTCTGAAAACGAAAAACATCCGAATATGTTGATCAAAGGAAAACACATCAGTATATAATGATGAACTCTAAAGAGGGTGTTTGGGTAGAGAATTCCCCTTTAAACCAGGATTCTATACCCTTGCCTTCCCTGTTCATTTTAGACTCTAGACTCACAGTAACCATCTTAGGTCAGGTATGCCAAACAAGGATCACTTTCCATGACTGAATGCACCCAACAAGAATGCGGATCAGCCAGATAAAGAGGTTTTCTGGTTTAAAGCAGTAAGCAACATGTAAGCAAACTTATTCTTCACGTTGGCCTTGTTTAACTGTGCAAGGCATACGTGCCTTCTCACTCAGGCAAGGACTGTGGATAGAAGGCTGTGGGAGGAACCAGGTACAACTGTCTCAGCCTGCGAGCAGCTACAGCTGAAACTGTGGAATCCAAATTTCAGCAGCTACAGTTTACAGTCTACAGGAATGTTGTTCAACTTTGGACAGTGTTCTTTGTAGAGCATCCTCTTTAATCTTCTTTTGGGAGGCTTTGGACTGAGATTCGTAGGAGAAAAGGAAGTCCTTTTGCTGCAAAATCTTGGGCTATGCAGCGATGCAGGTTAAGACGAGGCTGATGCTGTTATTAAGGTCAGAGTCTTCGAGACCAAACTCCTTCGTCGCTCCGAAATGGCCAGGAGCCCCTAGTAGCGAGTAGCGATGCTCTTTGCTCCTAGTAGCGTCGTTGCTCCTGGTAGTAAGGCCAGGAGCCCCTAGTAGCGCAATCTGCAGACCGATGCGCCTGGCAAAGGCTTGGAGCATCACTGACAAAACGCTGTAGTCCTTGGAACCCACCGGCGCCACCATGCGCTCAGCAGCCTGCGACCGCGTCAGCATGAACAGCCGCCAGCCGTGAACTTCAGACACACTTTCCCGGCTGTGAACTTCTTTCAGATGAAACACGTTCATCCCATTTCATCCCACCCACTACTGTATGAGTCTTTCTTCTACGAGACCCTGGATGACCTTGACTGTGGCGTGACCCATGCCGAAAGATATAACACAGTAAAGTTAAGTGTCACTAAACATCAAAACATCTAGGAACCAAAACTCATTAGTGCGTGAGCTATCCTGCGTCCAGTAGGTAGTAGCTAACTTAGCCGAGTAGCTTATTCTCCTCACTTATTTAAGTGGGCGCCTACTCAATTAGGCAGGGCCTCGGGCTACAGAGATGGCTCGCCTTGTTCCTTCAATGGAGCAGGTTTCACACATCGTGCCTCCTTCTGGACCATGACTTGGGCAAAGCGGATGGATCGGGGAGAAAGCACCTTGGGGCGGCACATCAACACATGGCACATAGGAGTGAACCGCCCAAGTTCAGCAAGGAACCCCAACCACCCGTTCCATGAAAAGCTAACAGTGACTATGATCAAAGTATATCGGAGTGCATTGCGGCTCCAATCCCTTCCAGCACGTGATATTATTTCATTCCTTTTGGATTTCCTATTAGTACTGGAGGCCATCGCTCTGAGGTTGGAGGCCATCGCTCTGAGGTTGGAGGTCATCGCTAGTAGGTAGGGTTTACCGTTTCTTTTAGAGAAATGCACTGTGAATCTGGTCATCTTCTGAATCCGAGTTTCCAAGGACAGAAGGGCCTCTGTGGTGATGCTGTATGGCAAGTTGCCGACCACAAAACAGGGTCCTCCCATCCTGAGCGTTTGGTTTAATTAGTAACAATGTTCGCTACTAGGAACAAGTGCATCGCTACTAGTAACAAGTGCCTTACTAGTAGTAACAAGAAGCTATTAGAATTAAATTTAATGCGAACTGTGTCTTTTCAGCTGTTTGCCCTACCTGTATCACCACTAAGGTGGAGGCCATCGCTAGTAGGGTAGAGGCCGGTAGAGGCAATTGCTATCAGGCTGGAGGCCATTGCTATTAAAAGGCGCTAAAAGGTACAACAAACTATGCCAAGTATCTCCAGGAGAAGTTCCGAATAGTTCAGTTTCAACATGTTCTGGAGGCGCACCTGCGGCGTTGATTAGGATTTTTGAAGGGCATAAGGACTGATGCACGAGGTAAGTGACATACTTGCGTGAAACACATCCGTGTGGTTCATAGGTAGTGATAGGGTACAAACTTCTCGGCATGAGATGTTGGTTGGGTGAGTGGTTGGGTGTTAAGTCAAAAACCAACCCTTCGGCATGGGCAATCGTACTCAAGAAAAATGTCACACCATGTGCACACTGTTTCTGCGCCAATGTTGACCGCATGGCACGCATGCTATGTGTCTTTCTGCCTGTATGCTTCAATGTATAGAAGTCATGGGCACACCCCTTCCCAGCACAATCTTTGCTAGCTTTGATGTGCGCCTCCACATTTTCAAAGCATAAGCACACCAGGGAGAACAAAACCTGTTGGTGTTCCTTACAAGCCTGAAGAGTTGAAACACCGAATCAGCGAGATTAGAAACCAATCGCATTCCCCAATGCAACTGCGCTTCAAAAATCACTCAGTTGCCAAATCAACACATGCCCTCAAACAGCAAACCATCTGCAACACTTTCCACCCCCTTCGCCTGTCCTCCATTCAGCCATGGTCCCTACTTTAATCGTCTACTTGACCGCCATACCAATCCACGACACTTCCCACCAGTTCACCTCCTCTCAAACATCCCTGTACATAACATGCCAACAAACATCTGCAGCATCCCAGTCCCTATGTGCAAACCCCAACCTCCAACCATTAAGTTTCGACTGTTTCACCAGGTTTGTGGCCTGCTCCAGACCCCTTACACACGTCCATGTGGCAGCTCAAAATTAAGATGCTGATCTCATGGGCACGCTTCAGAGAGACCTCGTTTAGACAACACAACACGGCTTAACCAAAACACTTTAATGCTACTAAGGATCAAAAGTACTTGAAACACCTGGTCGTATGTGAAAGTGAGAATGTGTTCAAAACTTCAAAACACACCAATAAATGCACTAACATATCTAGCATAGGTAGAAAAAATGCTAGCAATGAACCACATCTGTCCGATGACCTCCAACCCAATAGCGATGGCCTCCACCGTAATAGCGATGGCCTCCACCCTACTAGCGATGGCCTCCAACAAAACAAAAACGTCCGTCTGACCGCACGAGAGCATCCAAAGAACTGAAGAAGGTGGACCTCCAGCTTTGGCAGATCTTTACGTAAGATTTCAACTGCACGAGGGTCCACTTCCACTGCCACCTGTGACGGCTTCGGTCTTCGGATTTTTTTTTCAGTTGCAAAAGTGCGGCTCTGACCTGGGCCTAACTTGGCTTCCCTGGGCCTAACTTGGCTAAAGTTCTTGAGTTATGTATACGGATAGCCGATCTTTTGGCTCAACTCAAAGCCCGAGTTCGAAACAAATCCTGGACTGGAAACCGAATTGTTACACGTGTCTGTCTTACGTCGGCCGAGGAGCCATGCGAGGGAAGGACGACACCAAGAGCTGCGTCAAGGCCCCGAGCCCAGGACCCAATTCCAACACTGCCGAAGTCGAAGATCCGCCTCGCTCGTGAACTGCCTTCTCAAAGCTTCCTTGATGCTTGACGCAGCATTGAGAAAGACTAACTCCACAAAGTTGCCTCCTAAATGTTCCTACGCCGTCCTACGCATCCAAAAACTGTTGAAATGTGCCGGAACATTGTTGAGGATCTCCCCAAACCGAGACCCAACTCCTTCTGCTTTCTAAGAAGTAATGCTAAATAAAATATTCATAAAAATATTCAGAGTTTCTGACAATCTTGGCCACGGTGTTGGGGTCAGACAAATAGCTTTGCCCCAGTTGTTGCTTGGGCCGGTGCGACCGTGCTGGTAGTTTGGGCACCGAAGCTTCCAAGGTCACATCGACCAGCCACGTGGCGGCGACCAACCACCAACCATGGCGTGCTGCGAAGCCTCCTGAGCTTTCTACACACCTAGAAGCGATGGCCTCCAACCTGAGAGCGATGGCCTCCAACCTCAGAGCGAATGGCCTCCAACCTAAGAG